GCTGTCTCACGGGTTTGGGTCATGCGGGTTGGGGTGTTACATTTTGGTATCGGAGCATTTGGTTTTAAAATCGGTCTTTGGACCCTTTCAAAATAAAATACAATGAATAATTCAGCCGCATCTGCATCTCACGTAACTCCTCTACCCCGGGAAGGTAATAAGTATTTATAGCTTTATCTGTTATATGTTAAGATCTGACGTGGGAATTTCCTTATTATTTTAGAATGAGTCAAGAATCGATCCACGGTCAGTACGTTCCGGAGCCGGAGCACGTGAGCGTGCACACGGTGAACACCGAGGGTTCGAGTTTCACGCCTCCGGGTGACGGAGGGCAACAGCAGAATCAACCTGAGCCAGCGGGACAGCCACCAGCTGTACCACCGCCAGTCGTACCACCTCCAGTGATGCCCCCGTTGGCGATACCGCAGGTGGCCTACGAGCAGATGTTCCCGGCCATGATGGCCCATTATATGCAGCACATGGCGCAGCTTATGCCCATGTTTCAGCCACCGCCACCACCACAGCCGCAGCCGCGCATCGTTACCTTCAAGACGTTGAAGGATAATGGAGCGGAAGAGTTTCGAGGAGACAAGATGGGGGAGCCCCAGATTGCATTGGATTGGCTTGAGCAGATGGACCGGGTACTCAAGAATTTGAGAGTCCCTGATGCAGATCGCTCGGAGTTGGCGTCACAGATGTTCCGGAAGGGAGCATATGATTGGTGGAAGCGCATTGACCAGGATCCACACACACCCAAGCCGTGGACCTGGGATCGCTTTGATCGAGCCTTCATGAAGGAGTACGTCCCCACCCGGTACCGCGAGGAGAGGCGCGATGAGTTCGTTGCGCTTAAGCAGGAGGGGATGTCACTGCCTGAACTGAGGCAGAAGTTCGACTACCTGTCCTAGTATGCGACGAGTCTGGTCTCCACTCCGGAGGATCGTTTGAATGAGTTCGTCAAGAAGCTACGGCCGGACTTGAGGCCGTACGCCGCGCTGATCACGACGATAGATTTTAATGCGGCGTATGATTTGATTGTGAAGACGGAAAAGAGCTTGGACGATTTGCAGGCAACCAAGAAGGAGGATCGAGCAACGAAACACCCGCGACCCGCGGCCAGCACCAGGCCGAGCGGGAAGAGTTTTGGATTCGGGGGAAAGAGGTACGAGAAGGGTTCTTCGAGTGCGCCGCCGCCTAAGAGGAGTAAGTCGAGGCCGTCTCCGTCGGCCACCGCTAGCAACTCGATCAGAACGAGGAGCCACCCGCAGTGTGTACAGTGTGGTAGGCATCACCCGGGCGAGTGTTGGCTCGCCCAAGGCTTATGTTTGGGTTGTGGTCAGCCAGGGCACTTCAGGAGGCATTGCCCGACAAACCCTAGCAGCGAGCCTGTTTTTCCTAGAGCTCCGGATCAGCCTGCCACATCACATCCAGCACGGAGTCAGCAGTCTATAGCAGCAAATAATCAGCAGAGACCACGTCCGCAGCAGTTAGGCCGGGCACCAGCGCGTACCTACGCCATGCAGGGGCGCACAGATCCTAGTCCCGATGTTATCCTGGGTACGTTCATACTATTTGATTCGGTTATGCATGCCTTGATCGATCCGGGTTCTACGCTCTCCTATATCTGTGTTGGCATGCCCGCTAATTCTGCGATTGTGAGGAGTGACCTTGAGATACCTACCGTTGTATCGAATCCGCTAGGACATAGCATGCGTCTTCATCACATTTATCCTAGATGTCCGTTGTCCGTGCAAGGGAAGCAATTCCCTGCAGATTTGATAGAGCTACCACACAAGGAGTTTGACATTATCCTTGGTATGGATTGGCTCACCGAGCATAGAGCAGTGGTCGACTGCAGTTGTCGGACCGTACGGCTGAGAGCCGAGGACGGTACCGACGTATCACTATCCGGGGAGGTGTTCCCCAAGGCTCCCGAGTTCATATCGTCCTTGAGCGCGAGGCGCTTGATTCGCAAGAAGTGCGAGATGTTCCTGTGTCACGTTCAGGATATGCGAAAAGAATCACCACGTCAGCAGGACATCCGTACGGTTTGCGACTTCCCCGATGTCTTTCCCGAAGACCTACCTGGTTTGCCTCCGCCGAGAGAGGTAGAGTTCTCGATCAATCTCATTCCGGGTACGGAACCCATATCTGCTACACCGTATCGTATAGCACCTGCCGAGATGAAGGAGTTGAAGGCTCAGTTGCAAGAGCTACTGGAAAAGGGATTCATCCGACCTAGCGTTTCCCCATGGGGAGCACCAGTGTTATTTGTACGAAAGAAGGATGGATCCATGAGACTTTGCATCGACTACAGGCAGTTGAACAAAGCCACAGTGAAGAATAGTTATCCGTTGCCTCGCATCGACGACCTGTTTGACCAGCTCAGAGGGGCTACAGTATTCTCGAAGATCGATCTGCGTTCTGGATACCATCAGATTTCCGTTAAGAGAGAAGACATTCCGAAGACTGCTTTTAGAACACGCTATGGGCATTATGAGTTCTCAGTCATGCCTTTCGGATTGACAAATGCCCCGGCAGTGTTCATGGAGCTTATGAACAGTGTGTTCCGACCATACTTGGACCAGTTCGTAGTAGTGTTCATCGATGACATCTTGGTTTATTCACGGACTCAGGAGGAGCATGCTAGACACTTGCAACTGGTTTTGAGTGTGTTGAGAGAGCACAAGCTGTATACAAAATTGTCCAAGTGTGAATTCTGGTTGAGTGAGGTGACATTCTTAGGACATGTTATCTCTGCCATCTGTATCCAGGTAGACCCCAGCAAGATTTCGGCCATAGTGGATTGGAAGACTCCGCGGAATGTTCGTGAGGTGAGGAGCTTCCTTGGGTTAGCCGGTTACTATCGTCGATTTGTTAAGGGCTTCGCCTCGATCGCTACTCCATTGAACAAGCTACTGCGGAAGAACATCAAATTTGAGTGGACAGAAGCGTGCCAGCGCAGTTTTGATCAACTGAAGGAGTGCCTGACCCAGGCACCAGTCTTGATTCAACCTACTCCTGGCATCGAGTATACCATCTATAGTGACGCATCTTATAGCGGCTTAGGTTGTGTACTGATGCAGTTGAGTAAGGTAGTGGCCTACGCATCGAGACACTTGAAGACTCACGAGGAGAACTACCTGACACATGATTTAGAGTTGGCAGCCGTGGTGTTCGCCTTGAAGATTTGGCGCCACTACATCTTTGGAGAGAGGATTCACATCTTCACCGATCACAAGAGTTTGAGGTACCTACTCACCCAGAAGGA